GGACCAAAACCAAAACTCCCTATGAACCAAAACCCCAGGGAACCAAAATGGCCAGGGAGATCGGAACCCCAGGGAACCAAAATGCCCAGGGAACCAAAATGATCGGGGAACCAAAATGGCCAGGGAACCAAAATGGCCAGGGAGATCGGAACCCCAGGGAACCAAAATGATCAGGGAACCAAAATGGCCAGGGAACCAGAACTCCAGGGAAGCGAAACCCTGAGGAACCCAATGGATGCCCCTGAAGAGAACCCAGTAGAGAACCCCAAAGAACCACACATGCCAGCCCAGGAAAGCAAGCCCGCGATACTGGGGAATATAACACAATATAACAGAGGGAGACAGAGAGGGACAGGCATGTCCCCGTACCAGCGGAGCTCTGGCCATTCCAGGCCACGTCACCCATAGACCCCTGTGAGAAGATGACATAGCAGCTTGCCGGAAAAGCCAGGTCCATCCAGGCCTGTGGCGTTCCTGCCAGCTTCCTCGGGAAAACAGAGAAGCAGGAGAGTGTGGATCAGACGGGTGGGGGTGGAGGCAGACTGAGGAGGTGTGAAAGCAGGGCGGCGTGGGACTGCAGGCTTCGGCTGACCTCCGCGCCTGCTTCAGAATCAGCCTGACAGATATCAGCTACGTTAATACATTCTGGATGGGGCGGGGCACTGAGCTAATGAGGGGGGGGGGCATTGAGCTAATGAGGTGGTATGGCACTGACCTAATGAAGCAGAGAAGGGGACAGATTAAAAATAGGCATTAGCTTCACAGAAATATATCAGGCAGAATCATCGGGTCAAGCGTAACAATCAGGGCAGCCTGACCCCCCCCCGGGTCCCTTTCACCCCCGTCCACCATAAGCCCTGTGGCTGCCGACCCTTACAGCCTCACCCTGGCCCTGGAGGTGCCTCGCACAGCCAAGACCCTTGCCGGCCCGGGACCTGCCGGTTCTGTTGGCGGAAGGGGTCGGGGGGGCCAGACGGGCGAGCAGTGGGAGGGGCAGATGGTGGGTCCTTACACAAGGCTCGCTCGACCCTCAGATCAAACGGGGCCCTGGAGCTGACCCAGGGCCCGAGCTACAGCCCAGAAGCGGCTCCCGACCGGGCCCCGGAGCGACCGGACCAGACTATAACGTCCCACAGAGACTTTTTGGACCCGGTTCATCGACTACAGGTTCTGCGCTGCTGATCGTAAGTTAAGTAAGACGCACCTCAAGAGCTTAGGTCAATATCTGAATATGAAAAGCATCTAAATAGGGCATGTTTATTTCCCTACCCTTAGAGGACAGCTGGGAAAGTACGGCTCTGAGGAGGACTGCTCCGTGCCTCTGTGCCTGGGGATGGTGGGGGTGGGGGGGTTTGCCGGTAGGGGGGTTGCCAGCTCCTCATGCTGAGGCAGCTCCTCTCCTTCTCCAAGCCCCCGGGTGCTTCCTCCCATTCGGCGGGAGTCCCTCTCTTGGCTTGAGCAGAAGTCGCCGGCCGGTTTACCAAGGAAACAGCTGCTGCAGCCATGATATGCATCCCCCCCCCCCCCCCCCCCCCGAAGCAAGTCAGCTTACACATCTCCCTGAAGTGGCAATGACCCAACGCGCACCCTTGTGCTATGCGTACCCATAACTTTGCATTATGTCTGATTATTTTGCTGTTCAGCAACGCAATGTGTCTCTCTCAGGGGCAAGACACCCAGCCACAGAATCAAGGCTGCTGTATATATTTGGAAATGCTTATGAGGGACCCTTCCAGGTGGGGCAATCTGGGGTGCATCTTGGGGCCAAATGCCAGGTGTCAGCAGCGCCGCCTACTGTCAGCATGGTGGAAGTGAAATCACCCACACTGCTGCCATTAATAGGGTTCAGGATCGTCAGTACAAACAAAACGATTATTTATGGAAATCCAACCCAGAAGCAAGCATGCCTCTAGCAAAGGTTCAAACCTTGCTGCTTTTCCCTCGAGCAAGAAGCTTGCCCCAAATATCTCAAATAAAATAAGCAAGATACGTAAAAACAAGGGCTTCTGTGAAGGAAATGAATAAAGATGATCTGTTACACAACCAACTGCGAGGTGGTCGCGAAACACTTCTCCAGAAATGAGTTTAAAAAAAGGCTAACTTATCAGGTCTGGAATCACGATGCAGAATCTGTTAAACGGCCGGGTGTGTTAGCGAATGGCTCGGCTAGCAGGCGGCAGAAGTTCACCGTTTGCCTATCGGGTTGCGGTCAGAGTGGCGTAAACACTACGGCCAAACTTTCGAAACCCGTCTGGGTGGTTCATGGGACGCAACAGCTTTAACCCCTCATGGGAAGTACAAATGATGGCAAACGACGGCATGAGGCAGTCCGAGAGCAACGAGGCAAAGCGAGGCATGTCCTGCTCTGAGTCGGCGAGCACACTGACACAGGATTGCAGGGCCTGCCTCCTTCTTGTGTGCCGGTACCGCAAGGGATTACAGGATAAAATTAAAAAATAAACACTTATTCACCAAGTGAGGTGGGAAGGCTGTCTCAGGGCCTGAAATAAACAGATTAGCATTTCTGCCACTGTCCCCTCTGCATTCTGTCCAGAGCGATGAGTCACAGCATCACTGTCTGACGGGCCACCGGCAGCCGGGCTAAGAAAACAACCCACCTGGGGAAATGAGCCGCGTGGGAAGGAGCTTTCAGCTACGCTCTCTACAGGGCAGGTGCCTCGTCTGTAGGCCCCCATGTCCGAACGGCCTCCTCTGGCTACCCCCCACCCGGCCCACCCCCGTGTGACGACAGCGAGATGTGACAGGTGGACATCGACAGCCGGCGGGTCACCGGTGCAAAGGAGGAGGATGACGATGGGGACCTTTTGATCAGGTCAGACCGGACGCCAGGCGCTGACGTCAATCCTGCTCTGTCACATATTATTATGCTTCTGGGATGGGGGAGAGCAGGTATAGGACAATAGGAGTTTAGGTATGACTACAAAATACAAAGCTCTACGTGGTAAACGGTGCACACATCCCAGTGTATCAAACCTCGACGCTGGCGTCCGCCACATTATTGGAATCGCCCGGCCTCTCCCGAAGACCAGCCGCGAGCTCACGCCGCCGGATCCGACGTGAAAGGAGTCGGACATGCAGCCTCGCGTGGGGAGAGCAGCGGAAGTGCAGTGGCCGAAAGCTACAGGGGGCAACACTGCGAATCAGAATGAGAAGCCGGCCGCCGGACGTGCCCCCCCCACGGCTGCGGAAGGGTCAAGCTCACGTGCGGGACCCGGTTCCGGCAAACGCGCGTGGGTACGAGGGGTGGGCGAGGCCTCGGGGCCAACACCAATCCCCAGACTTTCATCGGCTGAAATTGCTATTTACAGACTGATTATTCTGACAGGCTGGCACTATGCTGCCTTTGATTAATCTGTCTCATATCCTTTCTATGTAAATAACCCTCACAGTGGGATTCTGGGATTTATCATGCGTGCAAACAATTAAACTGCCGCACCGGTTCACCTTGAAACCCGCTGCGTCTGAGGAGGGCCGGAGCAGCGCACACAGTCGCCCCCTGGAGGATCAGCCACGGTTAGGCAGTTAGGCTCTGGAGACGTCTAACCCCACACGTGAGCAAAAGCGTCTATAAAGGAAGGTAACTGCATGGACAGTGCAAGGGTTGGTTTGCTCTGGGCTTCAGGTATGGTGTCGTGGTCCTT